GCTGCAAGGCTGAACTGCAACTGCACATCTGCAAGTCCTGCCTAAGGCTCGAAAAACGTTCAAGCAGATGAGGTCGATCCGCCCTTCCGGCACCCGCACGATCTCTCCGCTCCCATCTGGAAGTAGTCGTTTCCCATATTTGGACCAGGGAAGTCGACCATCAAGCAAACGGTCTTCGTCGCCCTCCCACCCGTCCAAAGGACTCTCGTCCGTGGACTTGGCATTGCACAAGCAACAAGTGCATGCCTTGGTCAGGTCGTACACCACCCGGACCTTGCTGGTAGAGACACTGGAAAGGTCAGTGACAGACTTCCTTCCACCCGGCTCAGAGCCTTCCGCGACCGAAGGTGGAGGGTCGAAGTCCCCCCTCTCGTCCTCAATCTCAGGCTCAGAGCCGTCCGCGTCGCTCATGACAGGCAGCGGCAAACAGACCACACTAGGAATGCCTGGAACCTGAAAAGCTTCGGGGAAGCGCTCGGAAGCTGTGCACAGCGACTGATGATTCACCTGGGCTCTGCACCTGGACACAGCGGACCGCCAGAAATGTTTATTTTGATAATTGTTCGTACGAAAAATGTTTCTACGAATGTTTGTACGAAGTTTCTACGAAATGTTTGTAAGAATGTTTGTATGTTTGTAAGAATGTTTGTACGCAACTTTTAAAGTAGAGAAACGCCATTTTAAAGTAGAGAAACGCCATTTTAAAGTAGAGAAACAAGTTTTAAAGTAGAGAAATATTCTTTCGTACATTGTTACATTCTTTTGTAGATTGTTACAAACATTCTTTAAAACCTTCGAAACATTCTTTTATTTGTTCGAAACATTCTCTGGCGTTTGTGGAAATATTTGTTTGTTTGTTTAGAAACTATCTGAATATTGATTTATTTATTTAAATGCTACTGTTGTGTCCACTTTAGGCTGACGAATGACAGATTCGCTTCTACAGTCTGGTTGCTCCTGTCGGTTTTGTGATAACGAGACGCAAGATTAGAGTCGACTGGACAGCACAACGATGCACTAGGGCAGGCTGCTTGCAGTCTACAAAGCCACGCGAGCATTTCACAGCGACCTGCCATTGCGAGCTTTTTCCAGGGTAAGCAGCGCTGGTCCTGTCCCGTCCTTCGACCCTTAGGGCCGAAGTAGTGCCTGCTTTAGCCACTCCGGTATTCGAAGATGGCTCAAGCAAGGCCCAAGGCCGTCACAGCTGGACACCACGCAGGCCCGGCCCAAGGCCCCTACACACTAGTCACTAGTCACTCNNCCCGTGCGTCCAACTCCCGCTCCGAGAGCCCATTGCCAAACGCGTGCAGCTGCCAGCCGCCCTGCGACATGTGGAATGACCTTTTGTTGTCGCCCCACTCCGCATCGCTGAGCCCGGCAACAAGCCATCGTTTCAGTCGCAGAATGCAATCGTCATCTGAAAGACCCGAACCATTGTTGACTGTCTTACGGCAAGGCAGCGCTCGACCTGTAGCATCCGCATGTCGTGCGCAAAGCCCTCCCCACCCGGTGTGAACACCTGCTGAGTAGATCGGGGCAATCTGAAAAGCTGGCCTCCGTCCCCAAACTGTGGCGCGCTTCACGTGGCGCCGCCCTGTTACGGCAGCGTCTGCGCGGGCTGCAGGAACTTCCACAGAAACCATCGGCTTGGGCTGCGCTGGGCCTTGCGATGAAGACGACGGCCCGGGTGGTCTCAGCGGTTCCGGGCCCCGCGAGGAAGACGACGGCTCGGGTACATCAGATGCCTGAGCTTCAAATATTAAACTCCAAAGTTTTAACGGTAACGGCTGTGTAGGCTAAAAGCTTATTATAAGACATAAGACTATACGGCTTGAGGCGTAGGCTGAGGACTACGATTGAGTCTAAGGCTTCATGCGGCTTAGGGCTTAAGGCGGCTTAAGC